AAAGAAACATATTGATCAGTTAGAGTATAATTTTTACAATAAAGTTCATTCGTATTTCTTTTTTACTATGTTCAAAACCGTAAATTAATTGCTGAAAAATAAGAGCAAGTATAGAAAATAATCGTAAAATGATCTGAAATAAAGGTAATGTTATAGTACTGTGAATAAATTTTAATGGCACAAAACTAAAATATGATCTGACGGTTTCAACCCGTTTATGATTAGGATGAAAAACAGAGAAAAACCGCTTTGTTAACAAAAATAGTTCTTACTGTCAAATATACAGAGGAAGTTCGTCAAAATTGGGAATATCTTAGATCTCGTGAATAACGGTTAAAATCTGTGTTTAACAAAAACCAGTTTTTAACCTTTGAAAAATATTTTTTTCTGTAGAATTTAAGTTTATCTTTTACAATGTACTAAGTATCTAGATTTATGAGCGAATCAAAGAATAAAAACATCTAACATCACAAAATGAATCAAAAACTCGAAAAAAGCAAGCACGATGCTGATGCATACATAGCTAAGTTGTATGATGAAAAAAAAACACCGAAGGCAAGGATAAGTTTGATTGCTTCCAGGTGTCCTAATGACATTTTATCAGTTAATTAATGGCATAATTAAATGCTGTCTTGGGGACATTTAAAAATAGCAATGAAAGAGAAAATTTGTAGATAAGACGAAAGACAAAGTGAGTAAAGAAATCCTAGTAATCTATTCATTTCTGTTCATTTAGAAAGCTCTCTAAATAAGGAAATTGGGGAACAATTATTGGAAAATCTGTATATCGATTTGTACATTGAAAATGACAGCTAATTACGAACAATGAACGGTCTAAAATTGCCACCCATTCCTTTTCACCCATGGATAATAACAGGAGTCATATAAAGCCAATAAGTAAGTAGAGAAAATTCCGGAAATATGTTGACTCTCGCAAACTGCTTCATTTATCAAGAAAAACGGGCCAACGTCCATAATTGCAAAACAATGCACTTCGTGACCTAAAAATTAAGTATTATATTTTCAGAAAGGAGAAAAATATTTAAGAAGTAAATGTCATGTGTCTAACGCCTAAAAAGATTTCCCATTCTTTTTTTTAACGGAAAATGATTAATATTTTAAGTTTCGTGCCTTTTGTTGTCAGTATTAATCAGTTCTTTGAAAATCACAGTTTTTGAAAAGGTGTGTTAGTATATAATTTCCACGTTTTCCGAGAGCTTTTATTCCGTGACTGCGTTTCTCTTGGCACTGATGCAATTAAACATTTTTAAAAAATAAATATATTTTTTTAATTTTAATTCCAATGCCTTTTGGGTTACAGAAGGGCACATGCGTAGGCCATTCTTTCAGACGTGCAACTTTAGGTTCACCATATTTGGTATGCCAACGCTACCCTGACAGTAAGAAGGACAGAAAGCATGCAAAAGAAAGAAAGACATCCCATGCATCTGACCGAGATTCGAACCCGTGACCTTTCTGGCATGAGATCAGCATCCTGAACATCATACACACCGGACGCCTTACTATATTATTGTGCAATACATAAAGTTGCTTTTGATTATTAATAATACTACTGCAAAATCTAGCAAAAATAAAAATTAATGTAAATGTATCATATTTTCAATTGTAAATTAAATATCCAAAAAGGAAGTACATTTTCTCGAAATTTATTTTAAAAAAGTTAACACTTAGAAAATGTTATTGAAAATTGCTCTCCTGGATCATTCATGTTCATAATTAACTTGATGTTTTTAAGGAACAGAGTAAAAATTTCGAAAAAAAAGTATAATTTTTTCTAATTAATAGTCTAGCCTCTAGTTCAATATTTAATTATAAACTTTTTATAGTTATCATACGTTTTTCCACACTATTTTATCTACGCATTTACACTATTTATTTCACTGCCAGGCCCTAAAAAAGGAATTAATTCGAAATTCTTCACAATACTAATATTATATTAGAGTAGTAGAGAATGACTTAAAATATTACCATGTTTTGACCATTGAATTGCCGGATTTGCGTGATTCTCAGAATCGCAGTTTTGACAATGGAATGGCAAATTAAAAAAATAAAAATTTCCGCTGAGAAAATTTTTTTCTCTTTTTCAAATCAAATAAATTTTATTCCATCTTTTGTGCAGCCCTTAGAATTTTTGGCTCAAATTATTATTCTTTTTCATCATCATTTGCATAAACAATTCTAAGGAATTTTAGCTTTGACAATGAAATTGCGTAAAAAAATTCTGAGTATAATTTACTTTTTTTAATTTCCTTAAATCAAATTTTTCACTACTTATTTCTGTAGCATATATTTCCATTTTTTTTAATTCCATATTCTTTATTTTTAATAAAAAACAAATTAAATTGTGAAATTGTTGGATATTTAAATTCTTTTAAAGTGCAATTCTCTTTTTTACACTTTTATAAACACTAACTATTCATTTTTACTTAATTAAACATACTTAATCTTACTTATTTTTTAAATAAATGTAACTAGGTTCATAAAAATTAAACGTTTTGTTTTGCATAATATCACCACAAAAATAAGCTCCTTCATTATTAAATGTTTGGAATGTAAATTAGAAAATTCTTTATATATATATATATATATATATATATATCCAGAATGAAAGAGAAGAGAAAATTTCTCAGAACAATGAAGAATTTAAGATTTAGTAAGTCTCAGTAAGCAGCAACAGCACAGTAGTTTGATTTAAAAATCATGTTATTTTTAAACCAAAATATCATTTTTTTACATTTTTTAAGGCTATAGAACGCCAGGGATGTTGCTCACAAAAAAGTTACGAGATGGAAAAAAAAATGATTATTTTACATTTTTATATTACTACAATAACTATTGAAGTGCAATATGAATAGAATTTTTTCCCCACATATCACTGATACTTAAAATATCATAGTAGTACCTCGTATCATAATTTCACTCATAAAAAATATTAAGGAAGAATTATTGATAAATATCTAAGGGTCCCAACGGAAACGGAGTCGTTAAATTACCATTAAATTGCATAATTACAACTCGTATTTCGTTATCATTGGAAAAACTTCCGCCAGTTTCTGATTATACAGCTATACTTCGTTACTAATTACTCAGCAGATTTCACGCCAAGCTTCACATTATATATCGTTTATCGGAAAATATTAATATTCGTTATTTAATGTGTTGAAAAGATTGTGTTCGTTTTAGTGTGAATCTCGATTATACTCCACAGAGCTTGGCGATAGGGGGCTATCTTTTGAAGCTACTTCAAGATTATTTCTCGCATCAGATGTTACGCTTCGCCAAGCAATAATTTTTGCTTTTCCAATAATTGTTCGCTTCAGCTTCCCGAAAATTCTTTCATTTACAAATGAATGGTTCGCTGAATGCACGCATACAATAATCAATATACGTACTAGGAGATATTGTTCTTTTATATCAATGAAGGAAAAAAAATTGGCTATTTTCTTTCGAATCATCGTGTCTAGTAGAAAAAACAATTTTGTTGACGTCTTTAAACATACTATTTGAGAAAACTCATCATTACAATTAAAATATACGTTTAAAAAACTTGATTTATTTTACGGGATAGCGGAATTTACTTTAAACTTTAAGAAAATGAATTCTGAGTTAGTATTAAGCAGAAATTGAGCGACATTTTGGGTTATTCCTGTTATTAAAAATATTACAAAAGGCATGACTTTTTCTTACTTTAATAAATTAATATTAATTGAATTTCAAAATTGTTTAACTTTAATTTTAATAACAGAAGAAGCTAATAATCAATCGCTTAAGGCATCAAAATAGCTTAAAATGTGAAATAATTTGTTTAAAGGGATCATCCTTATTTTAAAAAAGGAAATTCTTAAATTAATACGACTTTTAAAATGGTTATATATTAAATATTTTATAGTTTCGTTATTTTAAAGTATTTAAAGGATTTTCAAATAAATTAACTCTAAAACATAAGGATTTAAAGTATTATTACATGTAAAAAGCTTTTCCAAATTTCTTTTGAAAATATCTATGAATATTAAAATATTTTTTTCTTCTTTAGAAATAAGTGAAATATTACACAGTTGGTAACATGATGAGTAAGTTATTCTCTGACAAATTGATTTAAGCGGTCGTAATTGCAATGTAAAGTACTTTGTACGAACAAAAAACACTACAAATACAGGACGTCCTGAATTAGAATGATAATATTTAAGACATCGTACCAGGATAATAGCTAAAGGTAAAACGATGATTCTCACAGCAAATTCATTTGACGATGTTCTACATTTGTAATTTTTATTTTAGTTCAAAAATGATTCACCAGAGGACGATTGTAAGCTTGTAAATATAAGTAAAATAATTGAAAATCTGATAAAAGTTTTCCGAAATCTATTAAGGAATGAAAATCTCATTAATAATATTTTCGAAATATTAATCATCAGCCGCAAGTGCATATCATAATGTGACACTTTTTGATGGGATTTTAATTAATTTTTCTCTGATTTGCATGTTTACTGTGCTTATCGCCATCTGTTTAATAGTGTTTAAACTAAATTAGAAACCTCTGGGAGTGATTCATGACCTGTTATGTAAATTGGCTACAAAAAAAAGATTTTTTTTTAAAATCTGAACATCGTTCTCCCGCTTTAAATTTTTGAAACCCATTTGAATTTCATTTAGGACACCTTACCCGTATATGACTAATTGGTTAGTAATTTGATTATTAAATCTAACAACGTAACAGAAACAAAAGAAATAAAAATACCACTTAGAAATACCACTAATGCATGTGAATAGTACGTGTGTACGTGTATGTGTGCGTGCATATTGAAGTTCAAAGACATTTTTAAAACATCTGAAAAAATTATCAAAAAAATAAGAAACGAGGGGAAAATATCTGATGGAAAAGAATTTGTAAAAGGAAATAAAATCTATCTAGAACTTTTTTCGTATTCTCCATGCATAATCACATCTATTTTTTTTAATTTAAGATTTTTATATTACAGATGGGTAGATATGAAAAATTTTTTTCGAAGAAGTATAGTTTTGCTAATGGATCCGATTTTGTGGATTGCAGTATTTGTGGTTAGTATAAAATAATTTAATTATCTAATAACGATGCAATGTTTTTTAATTTTCGCATATATATATATGTATGTATTGATCAAAATTGGCTTAAAAAAGATTGTCGGGTACATTAGTTAATCAAATGATATTTGTTGAATTAGGGGTTCATATTTTCTAAACCATTAAAAAAATGACAAGAAGTATCTATTTACGAAAGTTGTTGTCATTATTGCTTGTACAGTGCGTAAAGTAACAAACAGACCACCCTGAATAACTTTTGATCTAACGATCGGATCTGCACGTTTTAGGAATTTCTTAAGACCAATTCGACCAATTTTGCTAAAATTTTGTATTTTTCCGTGTACATATGTTCTTTAAAATGATGCAAAAAATTTTATACTTTGCAAAACAGATTTTGTTCGACCATTATTAAATGAAATAATGAAAAATAATAAATATTTACTAGAAGTTTATTTTTTGCATGGACTTATCTAAAGATAAGCAAATTTCATAAATGTTTGCAAAAATTTTCAATTCGCTGAAATTTCTTTTGAGATACAGCGCTTTCCGAGGTATACACAAAACATAAAATTAACATTAAGGAATCCAAACCTAAGAGCGTTCTCCTGACCAAAATATTGGGACCATATTCCCCAGATTGCGGCTACCTCCTGTATTTAGGGGGTCAGGAATTCGAATCCATTGAAAAAAAGGTATGTTTATTCAGAGAAAGTACGTTTTTGTATCTGATGGTGGAGCTTCAATTATCGTTTGCATTTATTAATTAGCATATTTGGGATCATCTTCCTGAGTCATTAAGATTGAGTCCTTGAATGTGAAGATCGTATCTTTAGATCAAAAGTTATTCAGGGTGGTCTGTTTTTTGTTTTTTTTTGGATTCTTGACTCCGAAAGCTTTGTCCTTTGCGCTCATTTCACCCTAGACTAAAAAGGACAACATTTCACCTTTCATAAATTTTTTATTTACTATTTATGAATCAAATATTTTTTTTTAAAATTCATTTTTAAATTTATTTTTACTTTCAGTTCATAATTCTCGTTGCCTTTCGACTTTGGATGCTACAAGGAACAATGCCTATTTTTTCAGAGGAAGACAATCCAACTTCTTTTAATCAATGCGTGTTTACGAGGTAAGTAATAAAAAATACCAATATATGAATTTGAATGCCAATTTTTTAAAGTTATTTTTTGCAAGAAGTTAGAAAGCTATAACACAGTGACTCCTTAAAAAAATGTCGACAGTTATATTATTTCTCTTACCTGATAAAATAACAGTTTCTGAATATATCTTTCATCTTATTATTTTAATCCTCTTTTCTGTGTTTAGCATATTTCAAGTGTTAATATATGTCTAACAAATTAATAAATTAAAACAAGTGAATTTCAAACAAACCAAAATTAAATTTAATCAAATAAAAGAAATGAAAAGTTTTAATGCCATGCTCTAAGGTTTCATGTAAAAAATAGCATATTTTACCAAATTTACCAAATTTTCATATACATTTTTCAATTATCATATATTATAAAAGTATATTCTATTGTTTATTTTACCAGAGTACTTACCAAAGTGCATCGGTAAATATTATTGAACGTTTTGATGTTCCCATAGATCCAGAAACATGGTAAATGTTACCCTATTCAGGAAGTTTTGACCATAATTTTTTCTCTGTATATATAAAAAAATATTAGAAATAATCCATATATTCTTTTTGAATAAAGAGTATTAAATTTTAGACAAATCTACTAACAATATATGATTCATAAATGACAAAATCTTATCTAAGATTCGTATTGCTTTAAATATTGTCCACAGCTTATTATTTAGTATTATTGAAACTAGAGTAGTTTATATTAGCAACGATATTATACTATCAATTCATTTAAGATTAGTTATATTATCTGCATAAACAACTTTATATTTCTTTTCAGATTTTACACATACCTTTACCTAGCAGCTTTTAATTTTTGGATGCTTTTAAATCCCACCACCCTATCTTATGATTGGCAGATGGGAAGTATCCCCTTGGTCACATCTGCATTTGATGTTCGTAATATGGCATCACTGCTCTTGTTATCTGGCTTGGGCATCTTGTTTCTTCAGTTACTTCTTTCTTTACACCTCAAGGTAAGAAGAGGTAGGTGGCAGACTCAAAGGATGCAAAAAAAAACCTTTAGGCTTTTTTTTTAGGTTATTATAATTTCTTTTCTTCTCATGCATATTAGTTTTTTTTATTCTGAACGGCACATTAACTTCGTAGTTCTTGTTAGTAATTGTTTTAAATAAAGTTTTTTATTATACATAAATATTTTTTTATATAAATCTCAAAGGAATATAATTGCGGTTTGACGTTGTTACAATAGTTTAAAACACGAAATAAACTGTAGAAAAAAGCGTAAAATTGTTTTGAAAAAGTAAATCATAAAAATTTATTAACAAATAAAAATAATGAAGATTAGTTTAAGTAATTAATCGAGTCAATTTTTTCACAATGTGTGTTTCATCATCGCATTTCTCAAAGCGAGAGTAGTACTAAAAAATAATAAATGTTAGTTAATTGTTCGAACTTTTAGTTATATGCCGGGATTATTAAAAAACAATAACTAATAAGACAATGCAATAGCAAGGAAGATTACTCTTATTTCTGCCAAGCTTCAATCTTTATAGACGAACATATGCGTAAATATTTATGTCATAAGTACTTCAAAGCTATTAGGTACGATATTATGTACGCAATTTAAAGAGGGTGTTCTATATAGAAGGCATATTTTATATTGATTAACATTTTCTTACTTACTCATGCAATCACTAATTTTTAAGTTAGTTTCAAATAAATGATAGTCATGGCAGTTTTTCTTAACTGAACTGGTTCCAAATTTAACGATGTAACTTTGCTAAAATTCAGGTTATTTAATTTATTTTATGAAGAATTTATTTATTTCAACCGCAATAAATATAAACCGTAATAAAACCCATATTTTATTTCAACCATAATGTACATAAAGTACATCGCATTATATATAGCCCTGGCTACCTTTTATTTGTTAGAGCCATGAAACTATTCTTTAAACATTAACGCTACAAAACTATCGAATCAGGGAAGAAATATAAATAAATAAAAAGAGTGAAACAAACGAATCCACTTATGTTTCAAAATGCATGAATACTTTTTACATTATCATAGATTTAATAAATAATTTAGTGAAAAAATATTTATAAACTATTAAACGAGAATTGTATAGACAAGATTTCTATATCTCCCAAAATATTTAAGGCTTTTAAGTATGTATGTTTCTTTACTTAAAATAGAAATAGAAATGTTAGAAAATATTTGTTCTAGCATTTTAGTTTTAATTTTTCCACAATACGGCGAGTACAAAATAAAGGTAAGATATATATTTTATTTTATATTTAGATCTAGCGTCCTGTGGATCTGCTACTTTTCCTTTATCCAAGTTTGTGTTTAGAAATTTTATATATTCTGTATCATATTTTGTTATTTTCAAATCGAAATAGTTTGAAAAGTTTATATATTTGCAAAAAATGCATTTGTCATTGAAAACTTCTGTTTTAATATCACTCTAAAACTGTGTTTATTACAAAAGAAGACATTGATTGTATAAAAAAAATTTATTCCCGGAATTTTTCCCGCACCAAAACAATTAATATATTTTTAAAAAAGGTAAATATTTCTTAAGTATGTACCTATGTCTGAAATATATCATTACCAAATGTCAATAATAAAATTTATTCATATTCATCGAAAACCTGGATCGCACTGTTATTTTTTTGTCTCTCCACCAAGGAAATTATTCTAAATTAAGAATTGTATCAAACAATTATTAATAAGATAAAAATGTATTAAGAAGTCATTTTCTAATCTGTTGTTAATTTTCTTAAAATCCTAGTCAATTGTTGGTTTTTGTTTCAAAAGAAAATAAAGATAGCGGAAGGATAAGAGCATGGAGAAAAATAAATTTGTAAAACTACTGTATTGTATTGTACTAACATTTCTGATAAAATAATAATAATAATTCTGGTAATGTTATTGTTGTTCTTGTCGTCGGTCATTAAGCAGAGAGGTTGCGATTGTTCTTGTTTTAGAGTGGAGCTATTAAGGGCCGAAGATTTTGACTTCTGCACACATATACGCCAATAGGGACCCATTCATGCATCCATTCATTCATTCGCGGATCGTAATTTTGATCTGAACCAGCGAACGATCTATCTCCAATTAAGTACCAGCAGAGATATAATTTGTTATGGGAACATGGAGGACTTTGTGACCCAAAGAATTTAACGTGTGCCAGCCATCAATTACTACACGGGGAGGGAGTCTTGGGCCGCCTTTATTCGAACTCCCGGTCTCCCGAACGTGAGTCCACTGTCCTGCTAACCTGGCCCAATTAATAGAAAACAAAATATACAGCATTTAAACCATTGGTTTCCAACTTACATGAGGACGGGAGCCGCAACTAAAAACACCAGTCAAATGGCGAGCCGCAACTTTTTCAAAATTTTTTATTGGACTCTTTTATGTTTGAAGGAACATTAAATATTACTGCCGGATTTTTATCAAGTTGTACAAAACAAAAGTATTGAATTTTAAATTAAAATAACGAGTAGATTTTTAAAAATATTTAATTGCATGTTAAAAAATTCTTTCTACTAACACTTTAATGTGCACCTATGTATTAAACAATTAATGGGCAACAGATAAGTAATGCAACTGACACTCATTGGCACCTGCAACAGGGACCGAGGAAATGTACTTACATTCGAATGGAAACTTAATAAAATAAGAGTTATATTTTGCTTTCAAATACGCAGTTTTTTTAATATTAAAACACAAAATAAAAAGCATTACAAATAATGTAATTACGTATCATTTTGAGTCTTCTCTTAATCAGAAACTTAGTGACAAGATTTTATTTTCTTTTAAATTTCATTTTGTGATAAATTAAAATTTTTTTCGACTTATTAGGAATTATAGCAAAGTAAATTCTCGAGCATCTGAAATTAATTTCTTTTCTTTTCCGCTCAGGCCATATTCAATTCAAAGAATTTAAATAAGACATGATATTCATTACCTCCTTTATGTGTTTTAAAATTTAGAAATGCAAATAATTTTGTCTAAAATGAATGGTTTCAAAAAGTTAAGTCGGAGAATTACTCCGAGAAAATTTTTGACGCTCACATGCTAAATTATATTCACAAAATGCAAAAAAAACGAAATAAAAAAGAGGCAACTTACACGATTACTTTTGTATTTTAATAAATATTTTCTTGGATGCAAGACCTAAGAAATAATTTATTTTTGCACCGTTGGTATGTTAAATTTCACAGAAACGAAGAAATTAGGGTTTTTTTAATCGAAAGAAATGTATTTTAAACCCATATAGATTTTTAACGAAAATTGTCAGCAGAAAAATGACATCTAATATATTTTAGTTCACGGGCCGCAAAAAAAGGCTTCCTGGGCCGGATGTGGTCCGCGGGCAGCCAGTTGATAACCACTGATTTAAACCATTTATTTGGTAATTTTTCCTTTCCTATGGTAATGGTTTACCGTATATTCTGGTTTTCAAAATTATAGTTCTTATTATCACACATTGAGTAAAAAATAGAAAGCTGTAAAGTAAATTTAACCGAATAACTGGTTTTTATGCGATACTTTAAGACATCATTATAAAATTATAAAATTTTACCGCATTCACCAAATTTCGTCACACATTTTGAAACAGTTTTTTATTGCTGATTTTAACCAAGTCGTTACCACAGCGCATCGGTAAGCATTATCGAGAATTTTGGTACTCCCATAGAGCTAGAAAAATTTACTATATTAGAGTAGTTTTGACCTTACTTTAAAAATTTTAAGTTATTTGCCTCAAAGTCTTTAATTAGTTCTTATAAAAAATTTTAAAAATTCTTAACCACCTATGTAAATTATAAAATTTAAAACAAATTTATTTATTATTTTTTTACTGCTATAAAAATTAATGTGATTTGGTAAATATTTAAAAGTGAATAATACACAATTAAATTTTATGTGTTAGAATTGGTTCTACAAATTATATGTTGTACGCAATGAGTAGATTCTCAAATTAAATAAAACTAAATGTTATATTCAAGTATTTTAATAAATTTATAAGCGCTTTTATGTACATATCAATATATCTTTTGAAAATTAGTATTTTTTTTCTTAATGATATTTGATACTTCTAATTCAATGCTATTAGATGATAAAGAAAGTATGCATAAAGTTTTTATATATATTTATATACACGCACTCTCAGAAATTAAGTCCTCATTTTTGACGATTCAGCTATCCTTGCGCAGTATACCGTTCATTTTGAGAAACGTTTCCTCGCAAATTACCTGCTTTGTGACGAAACACGAACTCTCAATTATATGACGAAAATTTAAGGCTTTGGTGTAATTTATCTCGCTGTCCTTCTTGTCTTGTTCCACCTATGCGGTATCCACGTTAAAGTGATTATTAGAAAAATTAGATACGTTAGGCACTACGTTATGTTTTTTTTTTTCTTCTGAAAAAAAAAAGAATGACAAAATATTTTATTAGTTTTGAGGAAATTTGCTTCCTCAAAGTGATGATAGTTTGTTTGGAGTATACACCAGGAAATGATTTTGTCAAAAACGAAGAAAGTTTTGTGATACCTGAGTAAATTTTTTTTTATAGTGCGGTGAAAAGTAAAAAGATATAGAAAGCTGAAATATCTTACTCCAATGCGTTGGTAAAGCTTCTTTACATTATAATGAGCATTACTATAAATTGTTTACTAAAATATAATGGTATATACTTATTTTTGAAACATTATTTATTCATTGTTTGAAAAACGAACGCGTTTTTTAGAAGATCAAAAATATAAAAAATCTGTTTTAAAATGTATTTTTTAAATAGTCATACAATATTATACACTGCTTATAATTTTAAAGAATAATTCTATATATTTTCATTCCCCGTTGTCCTTTAGAGGCATTTAAAACTATAGTTAATAACCAGTTATACTGTCACTTTTTTTTAATCATTTCAAACATTTTTATCCTCTTTTTCAGTTTCAGAAGAATTTACTGAATCGTAATCGAATTCTATTAACTTTGATTAT